AAAACTTTAGATCACAATGAGAAATATGTTTTACATCATGACCCACTATGAACACATGCCCACACATACATGCACATCTGATATATCCGTATAAGTAGTTATATACATATATGAAACAAAAGGGTCTCAAAATATGAGATGCACTTTTATAATTTCTGTTCTAATATATATTTATTTAGATGTAGTTAAATGTCACAGACCACAAAGTTGATTACATGGCCTCTGCTTCTGTTCATCCCACAATTTGAAAATGTCCTGCTATAACTACCAGTTTTAAGTGACTTTAAAAATGGCCTGATAACCTTATATGCAAAGGGTTCTAAACTAAGGCAGGATTCTCAACCGAGAGTAGTTTATCCCCCAGAGGGAGCATTGTCACCCAGCTAGTACTGGGGTGAGGGGATGCTGCTAAACCTTTCACAACGCACAGGACAGCCCTTCACACAAAGAATTAGGAGTGTCAAGGTTGGAAAAGCTGCCTGAGGGTAGTACGATGAGTTGACAATTCTAATCTGTACATCTGTTTAGAATGAGAGAAGCTTTGACCTGCTCTTTTCTCTCTTTTTCTTCAAACAAACAGCGTTTGGTACATTAAGATGAGGTTGGAGTATAATTACCTTTGGGTTGTCTACAGAGGTACAACCCAGTGAATAAAAAGGGTACAAGGAATGAGTCTATTTTCTTTTATTGAGATTGCACCAGGCATTTTTGTTAGAATATTGTTATTGCTCTTAGGAATATTTTCTGTGTTTTGATTTCCCTCCCCTCCCCTCGCCCCTCCACCGTCCCCATGAAGCCATATTTACTGAGGACCCTGCCTCACTCAGCCATAGCAGCTCTTAGAAAAGAAGTGAAGGGAATTTGACTAATGAGATTAGACATGGTCCCTAAAGCTTTCTCCCCTACTCATGACATTTGATTCTGCTATTTTGATGGGAAGTGACCTTCAGCTAACCTTGAAGTGCCATCTTAAGCCTAGTATTAAACTGTTTCATTTTTTAGCCACTGCTTCATTCCTCTATCTGTAGCTATTTTAGACCAGGGTCCTTTGAACATGGACGAGGCAAGCACTCCCTAATCCCTACATCCTTTCTCCTTCCACACCTGGCATTAGAGAGCTCTTGAATGTCTCAATGTCAATCTGTTGTTGCTTTTTCGCATTTTATTGGCTATTTCTGGGCCCACTGGTAAGGCTTCCTTTTGCCCTGAACCATTCAGATGGCCTGACAGAACAGACCTGGTTTGGCTTTTTTCTTCTTTTGTTTGGGAAAATATGTAGGATGGTGGAAGGAGATATCTTGATGTCAAATATCAGAACTGGAAGAGTAGTTGGAAATAAAACCAATTCTATCTGAAGCTTTTCTCTACCATAGTTGCCTCTTGCATTTTGTATTTAGTAAATTATTTTTTATAAGTAATTCATTGTCAGAGGCGTGTGTGTGTGTGTGTGTGTGTGTATCTACCTTGAAACTTTAGATTTCTGTTAGCATAATAGTGGTACCAACAGATTCCAGAAATTTCAGCACATAAATTTCATTCCTTTTTCTTCAAGAGAACAATAGGGACACAGATTTCTTTTTAACCTTCTCAGTCCCAGGTCAAGTATAGAAAGACAACATGTGAAATAGAGAGCTGAAGAAAACTAATGAAAGGGAGTTAAGCCCTTGGCCGGGTGGCTCAGTTGATTGGAGCATCGTCCTGTGCACCAAAATGTTGTGGATTCACTTCCCGGTCAGGGCACATACCTAGGTTAATAAGTGTTTGCTCCCTAGTCAGGTGCGTACAGGAGGGAAATAACTGATCAAAGTTTCTCTCTCACATCAATGTTTCTCTCTTCCTTCCTTCCTCTTTCTAAACTCAATAAACACATCTTTGGGGGATGATTAATACAAGGAGTTAAGACATCAGTCTCTCCTTCAGTACTCCAGCTCCTCATCTCTCTGCTTTTTCTGCTCTAGCTCAGCTTCAGAATATGAGCAGGATGAAGGGAATTAATAAGGTTAGACCCAGTACTGGTGGTGTATGGATCTTCACTCTAGAGAAGGATGTAGAATGAAAGGAAGGAAAATGGGAGTGGAGAGGAGAGAAGTGATGATTGAAGAAACGCCTGTCTTCTTCCTGCTTATCAGTCGGTTCTGTGCTTGGTGATAGGCACGGCAGATGAGCCAGAAGTCCTGACTGGGCCATGGACAACTGAAGAAAGGCAATAACAAAGCCTGTGTGTAATAACAAAGCCTGCCTTAGAGCCTGGTCTGCAGCTCACCCAGTTTTTGTATTGTCTGAAGGGCAGGGCAGTACTGACAGATGGGGTGGCGGTGGTGATTTCCTTGGTTTGGGTTTGATCATTTTTTCCTTCCAGATTGGGATATTCATCATTCGTGACAAGATACCATATCTCAGAAGTTCTGTGAACAAGAGAGATTTATTGCCCTGGTCTCCTCCATGGGCTGCCTGCAGCTAGGAAATGAAAGGCACTAATTCCAGGCTCCTGTCCAGGAGAAGCCTCTGTGTTCCGGGAGGGGCGGGGAAGAACCCGGGCAGGAGGAGCCTCCTGAGGGGTGAATGCTTCAGTCTCTGGTAGAAGTGCATGTGGTGTGTAGCTTTCACCTTCAGGGCATGAGAGAGAATAAGGAGAAAAAACTGCAGCAGCTAGCAAATCGAAGCCATTTTCTAAACTCCTCCCCCTCTTAGACATGAAGTCTGTTATTTCTGCCAGTTTGCACACGTATTTCTTATATTCCTGGGCCTGACTATTCTAGGGCCTCTGTTGATCGGTTCTGGCCTCAGGGCTTATAGAACTTGACACAGTGCCTTTGTTGCATGAGCAGTTGACATTCTACTTGGAGATTTCCATCACCTCTGTCAGTTCTGCATATTATCTTAGTTAAATCCCACAATTGGACTTGACTCACTGACTCACCTCAGTATCAAGGGCTTATTTTTACTTTTTCATAATTTGATTCTTCTTCCGAACATTCCCATGTAGAGTTTGATAAGTTAGAGTCTCGAAGATTTGTATAGATGGATACATTCATATTTCCCACATGCTAACATTTGTTTTGCGCTTGTATGCTTGAGTCACTAAGTTACCATGAAAGAACAAAGAGGATGCGAGAAGTCCTGTTCCTATCAGATGAATTGACATTGAACTCAAAGTAATCAGGGTCATCCATTGAGACATGTCACATGCCCAGAGGTGACCAAGGCACCCAGAGTTGCCGGTGGGTATTATGCTAAGTCTCAGGAGGGCTGAGTGGGTGCTGAGATACTTTTGAAGAGTTGAGTCGCAGGCACTATTGGCCCCAGAATACAAAAATAAGGGCAGACTGACTTACTCTATGTGTATGTGAGTGAGAAATGAGCTAGCACTAATTCCAGCGGAAGGTTTCTTGTTTAGGATTCTGGCCCTCTGAACGACTTACACATTTTTGTTTCATAATGCTAGCCTTTCTCCCTCCTATCAGTTAGAGGAGAGCCTAGTGCAGAAGTCACTCTTGTGGCTTGAGGTGAGGAAGAGAATCTGGGGTGACAGTTGGGTCACTTGCTTCCTTGCAGAGAACCCGATCAGGTCATTGTATCCACCCCTTTGGTGGCTCTCTTCTATAAACAGGAACAGGAATTCTTGCTACTGGATCCCTTTCATCGGGCGTCTTAGGCTCGCTGAATGAAAGCCCTATAAAAAGGAGATGCAGCCCTAATAATAACAAATACGATAGTGATGGCTATTTTGGGCAAGAGCAGCTTTGTGCCGCTCTTGATCTCCATCGACGTGTGCCATTCTTGCCCTGCCATTACCTTTCGGACTTCCTATTCTTAGAATTATTTGTGAGCCCTGGACTTGGGGGATTGCAGCCCCCGAGGCCGGAATGCCTAGCGTGAGTGGAACGCAGACTGTCTGGTTGAGTGGAGGTTAAATAAAGTTTGCCTTGGCAGCCTCCTCTGCTCTTGGATAGGTGACAGTAACTTGGGCATAGGAGCGGCGGCATGGGCTGCCATGTGGTGCTGTATCAAACAGCCTTCGTGCATGAGTAGCAGTGGTTGATGGTCCATCATAGCCATGCCCGTCTCCACCATACATACTGAGGTCTTGAACTTCAGCTAGTGACCACACTGCTCTGAAAAAAATGCAGGGACAAAGAACAAGGTGGGAGTGCCTTGCAAGAACTTCAGACTTGGTATATCTGCCCCTCAGAGTTACTGATTTTTGAAATTTAGACAAAGAGGGGAACTTTCATTATAAGAACAGTTACACCATCAACCAACATTTCTTCAGCACAGTTGGAAATATTTTACATGTATAAAACATAGAACTCTTGTGGTGCTTATAATTTCATTGGAAAAGTAAAGCTGTAAACACATGAGAAAATAATATCTATTCCAAAGTAAATTATTAGTTTCAACCCTGTGCAGAACTAAGTGCTGGTGGAGGTCTAAGGGAGGGAAAGCACTCTCTCTGGAGTGGTCAAGGATTTCGTGGAGGGGAGACGTTTAAACAGGTCTTGCCAGAGGAGTGGACTTGCCACTGGAGAGGAGAGGGGCTTGTCAGCGACAGAATATTATGAGCAAAGGGCAGATGTCCCACAACAGGTCATGGGGCTTGAAGGCCAACTGGGTGTGCACAAGGTCGCAAGGGCGAGGGATCTGCGTAAAGCCATCTAAGCCATAACTGTAAAGCCTGTGTGTGCTCGTTACTGAGAAGTTACAATGCTCTGCCCTAGAACTGAGTTGGAGAGGTGCAGCCTGGCCCAGAGACAGGGACCCTTGGTTGTGTTCTGTGAAACCCCGTTGAGGTGTGGCTCATAGTAGAGACTCAGTAAATAATGTCATCATTATTATTATTTATCTTCAAATTCCGTGAGCCAAGTTGTTGCATTGGCTTGGTTTCGTTTGGGAGAGTTGGTGCTAACTTTGCTTTGCCCTATTCTGATTGTCACATAATTGATACCTACTATGCCCTTTCCTTCAGGTTTATCTGACCTTTCTCTTCTCTTCCTCCTCAGGTGGCTAGAGGTGCAGGTAGCTAATCTAACATGTCCACAGTGCTGGGTTCGGTACCTCCGACTTCTCCGAGAGTCCATCTGGCCGGGTGGGGTTTTGCCTAAGTACCCACGGCCTGTAAGGACCCAGGAGCAGAAGGTGGCAGCTGAGAAACAGGCTTTGCAGAGCCTTATGGGAATCCTGCCAGGTAATTGGACAACGACATTGACTATCCTAATAACTGTTACCTTCCAATCAAGCTTTGCTACCGTTATCCCACACCCTTCCCCATTTTTCAAAGGACCTTAAATATGGCCAGACTCCAAACCTGTTGACCCACCGAGTCTCATGCTAATAGGAACATGATCAGGGCTGCGATTCTTTTACTCCTCACCCAAGTGATGCTGAGGGGATGGAAAGGATCACTGTGACCACACCACAAACAGTCGGTGCGAATCCCGCAGCTATCGGAGTAATAACTGTGAGCAGGTTAATAAAAATATATATTTAAAAATAAAATAAAATATGCTTTTGTTGATTTCAGAGGGAGGGAGAGAGAAATAGAAACATCAATGATGAGAGAAAATCACTGATGGGCTGCTTCCTGCACATGCTACACTGGGGATTGAGCCCGCAACCTGGGCATGTGCCCTGACCAGGAATCGAACTGTGACATCCTAGTTCATAGGTCAATGCTCAACCCCTGAACCATGCCAGCTGGGCAATAAAAGGATATTTTACATAAATATTTTTTCCTTAGCTTTTCTGTTTCCTGAGGATTTTTAGTTTGGCTCTGTAGTTCAGTGGTATGCCAAAATCACCATTTGAATAAAGATAGTAGGTTTATCTGATCTTGCTTTTCTCTCCCCCCACACATGGCTAGAGGTACAAGATATAATGAGAAGATGTTACTGTAACACTAAAGCCGTATCTGTGTTTTCTCCTTTAGATACTTTAGTGAAGATCCTTGGGGTGAACAAATGCCAGCTGAGCTGGAGTCTAGTCTTGGAGTCACTGCAGCAACCCCTCATCAACAGGTGAGCTGAAAAGTGTGCCCCAACTTCAGCATAACTGAAGCCATCTCTGGTCTCAGAGGTGCCCACGCTGAGAAGAGCGGGTTGCAGTCTCTCCTTGCCCTCGGCTTGACTGCAGACTGATGTCCAGGTCCACACACACTAAATAAAGCCCACGCTGCCGGCTCCTGAGCAGGTTGTCCTGTGTAGTGAGCTAGTGCTGGACCAGCCTCTGTGTTTGCATTCGGAAGGCCCTCCATGAGCTACTAAAAACGCCTGGTCACCCTCCAGCCCGTTCAGTGTGTTTGATGGTTCTTTCTGCCACCCGTGAGCACTAAGAGCGTCCCCTGGTCTGGGCATTGCAGGCCGTATGATGACTGTCAGCCACGGGTTCTTGGCCTCACTGCAAAGCTATGATTACTATTAGGATCAGGAATAGTTTTTGTTTACTATGAGGTAGATCAGATAATGAGATTGGGCTTTGGTAAATCGACCAGAAAAACTAGGTGAATACTCTAGAATAATTCAAAAGAGGTAGGTATTTCCTAGCTGGTGCTTTGGGATAGAATGCTTCTGGAAAGTATCGAGTACTTCCACTCCTCTCTCAAACCCTGTCCCGAAGGAGAGAGCATTTACCAAGTCCCATTCCTCAGGGCCCTGGCTTTTGCCTCATTGCCAGTAAGGTGACCAGTGACTCTGTAGTGAATGAGTTACAAGAAACAGCAGTAGTCAGTGGCTCTGAAATTCTTAGAAAGTTGCTGTCCCTCCCTCACAGCAACAGTGCTGCCTTGCTAACAGCTATGTAAATAAGTATGGAATTTCCTAAAATCGAGTCTCAAATTCTGTTTCTATCTTTACTGAGGCCACAGCCTTTTTTAGTTCAACAAATTGGTTCCATGGCAGAGGATTGGTCCAGCTACTGAAGTTTAGAGTCCACTCAGGATATCAGTAATGGGGGTGAGGGGAGGGCAAATAAGTGTCATAAATAAGACCTGGTGTCTCCTGACAGAGCCAGCCCTTCCTCTAAGTTGTTTTGTCCATTTGTTTCAGGCATTTGATTTACTGCCTCTGGGACATCATCCTGGAATTCTTGGATCTCAGTGCCTCCGTTGAGGAGTCTGCCATAAGCACCTCTGCCTCAGATACCCCTGACAACCCCAAGAGGATGGGTGTCTCCCTGTAGCCATCGGTCATTACCCATTCTTCGAAGGTTGGGAAGGAGGGTCACTCTGCCACCAGGAACCAGTAGGAGGGCTTGCCCTCTGGGCTGTGGCTCAGAAGACATGGGGCTCACTAGCACAGCTTTCCCTTAGTTCTTCTCCATCTGAAGCAAGTGATGGAGGGATATATGTACCAGTTGTATGCATGTCCAAGTGTCATACGTTTTTTGTGGTGTTGGGGCATTGCTGGTGGGTAGATTCTGTTTCCTTTGAATAAGGAATCTGTGAGTCCTTTTTGCCGTCCTCCATAAGATTGTTTGCTGGTAGCCTGGCCCTGTGCAGACATGTACCAAATCCACCAACATACAAATCTATATAAACCAAGAAAAAAAATAGATTTCTTTGGAGGTGAATATAATCTTCTGAGCTCTCTGTTCCCACCAGGAAACTGGAAGTTCAGTCGGGACCATTCTGGAAAGCCAGACTCCTAGTTTCCCAGCAATTCTAGAGGAGGGAGGGCAAGCATTTCTCAAGGGACTGCTTGCTGATTGGCTGTTTTCCGGCACATCAGCCCTATGGAGGGTATCATTGAAGGCTGCTTCCCTGGGTGGGTATACTTCTATGAAGACTTCAGAGCAGACTGCCAGCCCACCTTCCACACCCTTTCTTGAAAGAAAGTTGGGTCACAGATTTTGCTGATTGTATTTCCTCCTAGTCTCCTCCCCAGGAGCAGTTGAGTTTGGGCCTTTGTGACCTGGCTGTCTTCCTTTCACAAAATCGCATGGCAATTTGCACATTCAGCTCAGCGCTTCCAAAAGGAAGGGAAACCCTTGCTCCAGGGCTGAGAATGCCCAGAGAGTAGAAACCCCAGGAAAGGGCAGGCTCTCCTCACAAGTCTCACAGGGAACTTTTCATCAGAACCAGTAATGTTAGCAAACCTACAGGGAATTGATTGCCCACAGAAAGATGTTAACTTCCTGTTCTTAAGGACCTAGTTAGGTTTTAAGAACACCAGCGATGAAGGCATAGGGGCTGTGTCAGGCTGCAGTGTCTTTAGAAACATGCAACAATTAGGCCATGGCGGTAGCTCAGTTGTTTAGAGCATCATCCCGGTACACCAAGGTTGCGTTTTCAAGCCCGTCAGAGCACACACATGAATCAACCAATGAATGTGTAAATAAGTGAAACAAATCGATCTTTCATTCTGTCTCTCCTCTCTCAAATCATTAAAAATAAAAATGGAACAATTAGGAAAAAGTGTTGGTAGAGAAGCGGGCAGAGGGATCACAAGGAAAGTGGTGCACATTAAATGCAGGTGAGTAGCTGACAAAAACGTTGGAAGGGTGTCACTGAGACCTTTGCTCACCCTGCATTCTTCAGTACCGGCCTGCTAGAGCCCTGCTTTCCCAGAATTATGGATCCTCCCATTTGGGGGCAGGTCTTGGGGTTAGACTGATGAGAATAGGTAGGTCTAGAACAAGAGTCAAGATTCTATTCAACTCTGAAGTAGGTGATGTGCACACAATGGTTTATGGGAAAGTTGTGAAATCTTTTTACTCCTTCCACCCCCCATCCAGGCTTTTAAACATGAAACTTGTGCTACTGTAATTGAAAGGCTTCAGGTATGTTACTGCCTACAAACAAGGAGATAAGTGAGATAGTGTCTCCTGGAGCCTTCAAGCCTTAACAGTTGATCATTACAGTGATTTCAGTGGCTTCAGAGTGACCTGAGACCCTCACAGGCGGGTCTGTCTTTGGTGAGCACTAGGAGGACATGGCACTGCAGCGAGTCCGGCTGACTTCCTGGAGCTGGTCCTTCACCTCTTTCCTCTAGGACCAGGGTGCTCTTCGTGACAGCTGGGAGCCCTCGTTTCTGTTACCGTCTCCCCATACTTGACCCTGATACGTATTTTGTTTTGAATCTACATTGCTTCGAATCTCTGTTACTAGTCCTGGCTCAGAAGTGCTACAAAACCAGTACAGAAGCTGACACACCAGAAAAACCCTGTGGCTGTAAATTCTAAGGAATCTTTTGGCACTTCCAACACAAAGAAAACTTCCATATATTTCATGTTATATAAGAGACCCCACCTATACTTCCTCTGCCCCAAAAAGATAAGCTGTCCTCATACCCTCCTTCTGCCCAGAGGGGAAATCATGGATATCGCCAAAGAAATCATCAGAACCCATCTGGCCTTGAAACAGCCTGCCAGCTTGTTACTTGGGTAACAAGTTCAGACAACGAGGGAGATTGATTGGCATTTGGGAGAGAGCCACAGGTTTCAGGAGAATATACTTCCAGCTGAGAGTGATAAAAGCCAGTGAAGGACTGGGCCTGCACTAAGCCAGAACATTTTTTATCCTTTTTTTTCCCCTACCCAGCCCATCCATTTTCCAACTACCTCATCGCACCCAACGACAGTTGTTAGGTCCTGGGTGGAGTAAAAATATGTGTAAACATGGCCCCTAGCGATAGGAGTTAGAATGCTGTGGACTGAAACGACTAGGAAAATGTATTTTCCTCCATAAAACTAGTACCTGAGTAGGTGAGCCCCAGGGGTTAATGGTTTCAGCAGCTCTGACCTCAGAAATGGTCGGATTCTTTCCATCTTTCTGCTCTGCCATTGTAAACATGCAAGTCTGTCCTTCATGGTGGTTACAGTTGAGGGCATCACATTCTTACCAAAACAATATCTGAAAGAATCAAGGCATCACCTTCATTGTTTTTTTCTTTTAAAGAGGAAACTATTTCTCAGAAGCCCTTTAAGAATCTCATTGGCCAGAACTTCCCACCCATAAACCAATCCACTGACATTGAGAATGGCATTATCAGGATTGACTAGCACTAGTATTTACTCCCCCCGACCCTCCAAGAGGAGGTCACCCTCCAGGAAGGTTAGATTCCTAAGAAATGCCGTTATATGTTACCAAGGAGGCGGCAGAGAATGAGTGTTAGGGTCATTCTGCCAACATCAACAGATCCCCATGATACTCTAAAAATGCCTGTACTGCTAAGAGGTAACATCAGCTGAAGGTGACACTGGAACCACTTCACATACGTTAACTTATTTAACCCACCCATCAACCTTATACGGGAGGTTTTATTATATACTAGAGGCCTGGTACACCGATTCGTGCACCGATGGAGTCCCTCGGCCTGGCCCGCGCCCTCTTGCAATCCAGGACCCCTTGGGAGATGTCAGAGAGCCGGTTTCGGCCCAATCTCCGCAGGCCAGGCTGAGGGACCATGCTACGGGTCTCTAGTATGCATATAAGATCTTTAGTTAATCTCTTCCCGCCCTCCCCTCTTCCCCCTTCCCTCTGAGATTCATCAGTCTGTTCCATGTTTCCATGCCTGTGCATTGAACATCTTCCCCCTGGTGGTCATTGCACGTCATAGCTACTGGACAGTCAGCAAGGTCAACCGGTCGCTTAGGCTTTTATTTACAGTGGGGCCTTGACTCACGAGTGTCCCGACTAATGAGTTTTTCGAGATACGAGCCATCTCTCGGTCGATTTTTTGCTTTGAGTTGCGAGCTAAAATTCGGGTTACGAGCCAGCTTCAGATACCCCACCGCTAGTTGGTGCAGCGAACGTCACAGTGAACGCCACAACATCAGCCCAGCATCACGTGTCTCACTCGTTCACTTTTTGATTTGACATACGAGTAATTTGAGTTATGAGCTCCGTCACGGAACGAATTAAACTCGTAAGTCAAGGCCCCACTGTATGTAGATCCCGTGTATAAAAGAGAAACATGGCACAGAATTTGTGGTTCGCCCATAGTCACTTGCAAGGAAATGGCAGAAGCAGCTGGAAATCATGTAAGTCTACCCACAAGTCTACATCATAACCATTATACTAAGCTGCTTTTCTTCTTTCAAAGCAAAATAAGGCCGGGCTCTCACAGAGCCTGTGATCTAGTAGAGGAGCCAGCACATTTTTTTTGGTAAGAGGCCAGAGAAAAAATATTTTAGGCTTTGTGGCAGCCTCTGTTGCAACTACTCAGCCCTTCCATTGTTGCATAAAAGCATAGACAATACATACACAAATGACTCTGGCTGTGCTCCAGTAGAACTATTTACAAAAGTAGGCAACTGGCCAGATTTGGCTCGTGAGTGGTGTGCAGACCCCTAGTCTAGTGAAGTAGAATCAAACGTGAATGTGTGAGTGAGTGAGTGTGTGTGTGTGTGTGTGTGTGTGTGTGTGTGTATGTGTGTGAGATTTACCCGGATCTTCTTAAACCTGGTGTGC